CCTTGTTGGTCTTTTTGGCATTCATCTTTTATCACTTGCTAACATTTATTCGTTGTATCGAAGTAAATTTTTCGTTTCCGCTGTGGATTGTGTTCGTTACTTTGTTAAATCTAGGTTCGGCTCCATACATTTCACTGTAATTTTGGCCGGGCTGAAGAAAATCGTTCGCTATACAAGTACAGAGGCTTGTTAACCCATTCGCTCCTGGAGATTTTGCCGAAAAACGCGTTTTGAAGCTAGTCGAGTGGTTTTCTGGTCACTGTCGAGCTATAAAGAGCTAAAACGTACCACAAACCGGTTTACAGGTCGTACACTTCATGGCCTTCTGATCCAGATGTAAAATATCAGCTTGCAAAGTTCGGGCATGCGCAGAAAGCAAAATTTCGAGAGTGACACAGCAGTCTTGACTTTTACTTTCGCTTTCTCTCCTCCCCTCGTTTTTCGCTTTTCTTGCCTCATTTTTTTTCTCCTGCTGGGCATTTAGTAGGTTTCATTTTGGTGGGAATAGTTTTTAGGAAAGCTTTTAGGATCTTAGGATTAGGTGAAAGGAAAGGTAGGTGAGCAATGGAACAAAATTTTCATGGAGATTTTCAGGTCAATGTTACATGGCTTTTTGCCTCTTTCTGCGGTGTCCTTGACTGAATTGTGCTCATTCTGGTATGATTTGAAAGATCTCTTCACTCTGCACAAGTTAGTGGACAAAGTTGTCCTTGACCGTTAAAACTGATGACGTCACAAAGGGTAGAAAGGACGTGGATCCGCAAGGGCGGTTACGGGCGGTTCAGGAGCGAATCCTTGCTAGATCCTCGAAAAAACTCACATAGAGTGAAAACCGATAATTGCAAGTATTGCGATGCATGCTTTACGACGTCATCAAGTTGCAACGTTCACGAAGAAGTTCACACGGGAGTTAAAGACAGCAGTTGCAGAAACTACAGTGAGCGCTTTAATCCACCATTAAGTTGCAAGCGACGCAAACGAATCCATGTAGGAGAAGCTGTTCAGGAAGAAAGACATTCAGAGGTGTCATCAATGGAATCTCCCATGGCTGAACACGGTAAAAGAAACATGTCAACATATTCAGCTGTTGCATATGTCAGGAGGAATTAGATAGATATGACCTCCTTTTGAAACATTACGATAATCACATTATGCTGTCCGACACTACTGATATTTAAACGTTCTTACTTGACGGCTTGATTTTAGCTCCCAAGGCGCGACAAAAAAAGCTAGCCGATAGCCTGGGGCTAATGGAGTGACCCGTCGGGTTACATGTACATGTAACATTTTTTAATTAACAGCAACATTTGCTGAGGTAAATTTAATGTTCGTGAAAAATAGAGGGGTTGGTGGGCTTGCGTGACTGCTCCGGGCTAGTAAACTTTAACAGTCGCATGCCCTAAAGGCAGGTAATATTTTCTTTTTTATCTCGTTCTGGTTTTGTTTGCATGATGTAGCTCGTGACGCTTGTTTTAGGCAGTATTTGCGTCAGTTAACCTACTTTTTTCATTTGATTTAAAGGGGCACAAACTTGAATCCTCAAATGGCGTCGCCTAACACCCTCGTTTCGTAGATTGAGATTTGTCAGGGCAGTATGGAATAATTTTGCTTTGTACTTTTATGTTTAATTAAAACATTGCCCGTAATTGTTATTGTAATTTGTTTACCCACGGAGCACTTAGGAGTTCTTATGAACTTGTTTAAACGTCTCCGTACGTTCTAGATCGACTTGGAATTTGGAAGTGTTGGTTTTTGAGGAGCACCCGGAGAAAAACCTCTTGGAGCAAGGGAGAGAACCAACAACAAACTCATCCCACATATGGCATCAACAGCAGGATTTGAGCCTGGACCACGTTCCGAATCGCCAGACTTTCGATTAAAAGAAAAGGACCCAAAGAGAGTTTTTGTGACCTGAAAACTGAAATAGTATTATTTATTTTATTAATTTTTTGGCTACAAATATACAGCCTGTCTGTTTTGGGCATGCTTAGATTTTATGCTTGAAATGTTTCTGTGAAAACAATAAAGGAAACTGTTATTTAAGAAAAAAAAGATTGGTAATGTGCGCGGGACACTGAAGATTTTAAGTTGAATTTGTTGTCAATTGTATATAGCTCTTAATATGTGTATCTTGGTTGCATATATGCGTTGGACGAGTGGCTTGTCCTGCACACACTGCGTTCCGAAGTCATCTTACAACTTTTGGGACCCCTCTGCAGTTCACTTTTGAGTGACAAGGGATGGTATTGCGGGACCTCAATTATAATCCCACCTTTTGGTTCGTTCTCTTGTAAGCAGGACTTTAAATTGTATTCTATAAAGAGAATAACAAGGCTAAGGCTATTAAATCTTAATCATGGTTTTATTGTGTTTTTTAAGAGCAGTCTGAATATATGTTCGCCTTAGAATTGTTATCATTTGTTTAGTTTGATCTTAACGGATCTTGTGTGAATCATGATACGTTTCTGGGAAACTGTTCACCTACCCCTCCCCCAAAACCAACATTTTGAGACTGGGCTATGCTTATTTTTATTTTAATCGCCGCTGAGGCATGACTGCAAATCGTTTCCTCATTGTGAATAAAATTGAAAATGATTTTGATCAGCTTATTGTTGATGACTTACAGAAGGCGACAGATTCTCCTCTCAGGTTGTTGTCAGAAGGAAAAAATTTGCCGTGCAGTCTAGAAAATGGAGAGTGAATCATGTTGAAGCTCGTACAATAGAAGAGTTTGAATTACTTTCTTAATCCAAAAGACCTAGGTAAACTAGAATTTTTTTCGAAGTGAAAGTGAGTACTAGCGAGGGTAAAGCGGCGGTCACTTGGATAGCGGAGAGGTACGCAGAAAATTAAGTCTCGGTAGTCTCCCTTAGGGTGCTCGGATGGCAACTGTGTGGTTATGTCTTGGACAAACAACTTGGCACACAATTGTTTGGTGTCAGCAGTAATTTTCTCACCGAGTTTTCAAGGAGCAAATCGTCTCCATGGAGAGTCCATGAAGCATGACGCCGTAAATTTCTTCACAGCTCCATTGGTAAATTGGCCACTAAACTGGTCGTCACCATGAGGAATACTTCCCCGGACATGTAGAAACATTTTGGCAGTAAAAAAGGAGCCTTACCTTTCACCTCTTATGAATCTCTGAACCGTTACAACTCATTGATTGTGACGTCACGCAAAAAAGTCAAATTGTGCACGCCCCAAATCTTACATCCAAAAAATCGAGACTTTTTAGCGCTGATATGTTATGTTACTAAACCCTGGCAAAACCAAGTTGATGATATTTGGCAGCAGGCAGATGCGTGCAAAATTCCAATTTCGTTACCTTTCCTTTATGGGTAAGGACATTGTCCCTACAGACACCGCCAAAGACCTTGGTGTGACTTTGGATTCTAATTTAACTTACGATGAACATATAATTAAAACCGCTTCCTCGTGCATGTCCCGCCTTGGCCAGATAAACCGTGTCAAGCATGTCTTCGACAAACGTACACTTTTGATGATTATTAATTCCTTAGTTTTTAGCAGGTTATTTTATTGCTCCAATGTTTGGTCAAATACCTCAAAATGTAATGTCAACAAGTTACAGGCAGTGCAGAACTTCGCATGCCGCATTGTTAGCGGCGCGCGTAAATTTGACCATGTTACACCAATTCGCAAGGAGCTAAATTGGCTTTCAGTTCCCAGTCAGCTTTATTACCGGAGCGCTACAATGGCTTTTAAATGTATGACCGGTCAAGCCCCTGAATACCTTACATCAAAATTCATAAAGCGAGCAGAGGTTAGCCGACGTAGCACCAGAAATTCACAGCTTTTACAAATTCCCTTTTTTAGAACAGCTGCCGGTCAGAGAACATTTTTCTATAGAACTGTGAACTTATGGAACTCCTTAGACAATTCCTTTAAACTGTGTAACTCGATTGATGTTTTTAAAACTCGTTTACGTACTAAATTACTTAAAGAATTGTAATTTTATATATATTTTAAAACATTTTTTAATTGTAAATAGGATCATGTATTGTCTTTGAAAAGCCCCTTGGGAAAGTCAATAAAGTATGTATGTATGTATGTATGTATGTAACATCTCTGACTCTCTCACATAGTGTGCTGGCTCATGCATAGCATGTGCCTGAATACATATTACTATCGTGTGTTTTAGCTGATATTCATTTTCTCCATGGACCAAAGAGAAGGTAATACATTAGTCAACCCTACCCTGGTGAGGTGTTCATTGTCACGGGTAGTCACATGACCAGCCGCAAGTGGGGTTCTTTCTCGAGGCAAGGGAGAGAACATCGGGAGCGAGGTTGCAGTAAACCGTGGCTCGTTATCCATTACGTCAGTGGAAGGCCAGATGACAGTCAATCAGGTGGTCAATATAAAGGTTGTCATGGAAACGTGAAAGGTATGTCTCTGCAATAATAGTAGTCCTGGGAGACTTGTCTGTTTTACCGGCTGTGTTTGTTATCTATTTATTTATAACAACCGTACGTAAATTACCTTTCAAGATCTATAACTTCTGTCTCTTGAAATAAAAAAGTTGGATTCACCTCACTAATTCTTAAAAAGTCGCAGCAGTTTGTGCATGTATATGCTCAAATTACTTTCTTCTAACATCTGTGTTCCTCTCGATGCATTGATATTTTAATATGCGCGCACATGTAAGGCAATTAGGAAACTTTATTCACTAATCTTACCATAATTTCACATTATGCTGTGAAAACAGCTTGTTTTGCTTTGTCAAACTGATGAATGGACGAATCAGGAAACTATTAAAACTTTTTTAGAAAGAAAATCTTTGGCAGGATGACTCTAGCGTTTCTAGTTTTGATCAGAAAAGGATAAAATATTATCCTGTTAGCTAGTAGGTATGCAAACGGAACGCCACCAAGGAAATCACATCAGTTATCTTGGTGACTTTAGCATTTTGAAAAAGGACAGTTTTTAAGTTTATCTACTGACTTTGAAAGAGCGCTTTAGTTGGACTATTAGTCCAGATTATCGCGGATCAATGACAGGCCAGAAAAAGCTGAAAGAAGAATTCAAGTAGCTTGCTTATTTTCAGATTTATCCGGCATAGTGTGGCCCACTTACGCAGGTGGGTCACAAGTTTTTTTTCAGGCTCCTATTTGCTTATGACATTAATTTTATGATTTCACAGCCCAACTTAAAAGCAACAACTAAAACTGTTTCAAAACCAAAATGATAACCAATTAGAGTTGTACGTCCTTGAGCACTTTTGAAGTGGGACAGTAATGTTGCCATAATACTTGAAAGCCTTGATATTGAAATCCATTTGTAAGTTAAACATTAACGTATATATTTGCTTATCCCATTTTGGCTCGCCATCTTGAAATTTTGAGTACAATGCAAGTTGCCTGGTCTTCAAAATTGTGAGGACTGGTAAGCTCTACTGTGAATTATAGTTATCATTATAGTTTAAATCTAAGTGAATTTTTTAAAAGGTAACTGCGAGCATATCGTTGCAATTGTAATTCGTCCATTTTTTTCCTTTGGGCAAAAGCCTCTCCTCTCCTCTTCCCAACCCCATTCAACACCCCACACTCTCCCTTCCCCTCTGCCCCTCTTTTTCCTTTCTTTTTCTACCACTGCATGATTTCCAAGCTTGAGGGGGCCCCCAAAAAGCTCGCCTTTCGGCCTTATTTTGCAGATTTTTTAAAAATTTTCAATTAGCGCACTTTCCAAAATCTAGTCGGAGAGTTCCTAAGAAATAGCGAAAAATGTTACGTAGCCCGTTTTCTTGCAGCTTTGCAAAGCTACTGAAGTGTCGAATGGGAATTCACTGAATAATACTAATATCAATATTATTATGCACCTCTCCAGGAAAAACCGCGTGTAGCAAATAACACAAAGTTTCCAAAAGTATTAAAAGAGCGGATTTAAATAAGACGGATAAAACTTGGGCTTTCACGCGTTTTATATTAAGATGGTATAACTTTTCTAAAATACAAATAACATCACTACTTTAACGCACATTTAACGGACAGATATAGCAAGGAAAACCAGGTTCGTATTCATGGAAAGTAAAATACAGTGATGTTTCTCTTTCCCCAGACCTCCGCCGCAATGAAGAGGATTACTTTTTTAACAATGCTTTAACAATGCGCTATGATGCTGTTGTCCTCAGCAGATCAGAAAGTAATACCAAATCAAGAGAAACCAATGGCTGTAGTATTCCCGGACACCTGCCGTTTTTCTACAAGAGACCGTTCACCCCTGCTTGCGTGAAGCACGATGTCTGCTACTCCTGTGTAAGAATTCCAAAATAAGTCATTTTCCATCACCCTTTCCCTACGTACCGAACCCTTTGACACAAATGTTTTTACCATGTTTCCTTTATTTTTATTGCGACTTTAGCGATCATATGTGGTCATATGTAAACTAGCATTTATTTGTAATGACTGAACATTTGCCTATTTTAAAATCATGTCCACACAGGGTCAAAACTTTGGTTGGAACCGATCTGATTGTGACGAAACTTTCAAACAGGATATGTACATGCTATGCGATAAAAAGTATGGCCGCAAGAAACGTTGGATCTCCTTACTGGCATCAAAGATCAAACGATGTAAGTTTTTTCCGGATTTATACTACAAATCAGTACGTATCTTTGGCAGGTTTTACTGGTCAAATCCATCCGAGCACTGGAGTAAAAGCTGTACTAAGGATCTTGGGGATCCTTTCAAGCCTCTCAGACATTGAAAACGTCACATACATGAATTTCCAGCTCGCAAACACTTCAAACTGGAACACTTGTCCGATGATTAGCGAAAGATTAGACATTTGGCCTAAAGCGAAATAAAAGACTGTTCAAGAGCATACGTTCATGTTTTTAATGGATTATTTATATTTGACGTGTTGAGCTAGCGTCAATTAATCTTACAGTACGTTCCACATCCTTCGGTTTTCCCTGTTCCCGTAGGAGTCGAGTTTCATTTACTGAATAATCCTCGCTTTTTACCAACAATTTGGTGGTAGTTCCAACGGTTAGAGTTTTTATAAAATACTTGCGCAGCTCCTTTACTGGAGCTTGAAAGTCATTGGTTTACTTCACGGAATGCCTTCTACTTGAAACACAGTTTTGATAGAATTTATGGCATTTTCTCGTCGGTAGCATCTGTAAAACCTTGAGATGCAACAAAACTATTATTGTCATCAAATTTTGCTGCAGTCTCATTCTTAACACTGCATCAAATTCACACAAAAAACGTCGTGTGAAAAAGCCTCTTCTCGCTTTGAATCTGATTCTTACTGTTTCCCCTTTGTCTCAACAACGTCTCCATCGATAACTAAAGGGACTGGAAACTTGTATTAAAAAATATCGCCCATTAAGAACGCTGGTTCAAGAGCCATTATGGCTCTTGGCTGGTTATAATAAGGTCGTTAACATCGTCGTAGTCATTATCATCATCGTCAACGTCATCAACATCGTCATGATCATCATTTATCATCATTATCATGATCCTCATCATTAACATTGTTCTAAGGATAAAAACAACTTGGCTTATTAAGTGACAACTGAACTAATCTTTTACTCCTGACGTCCACGGTTAAATTTTAAATCCGGTAAAATGACGCAAACCAGAAGCACAAGCGTTTAATTAGATCACTTCGAAACTGCTGACCCGACGCAAAATCAATCTTTCGTAGAGGTTGAATTCCCTCTGACAAGAGATTATGTGAAAAGAGATTAGTTTGTGTACATTAATTCCACTTATCCACAGTCCTTGAAACAATTAAGCCGCCCAAGAAGAGCATGTTTGTGTCCTTGAGGTGAGTGGGAGACAGGGAGACTTACGACACCCTTCAGCATTATCCTGATAAACTAGAATTTTGTAGATCTTTTTAAGGACCGAACTGATACCACTTCTAGTCACCAAAGCTTAAGAAGAGCAACAGCTGAGAGAGGGGCTGTTTGTTGATGACATTTATGACTTCACTGCCGGGAGGGGGGGAGGGGGGTACTTCCTTATATGAGGCTACTAGGGATGTGCCGCTGGATGGGGCCGCATTTTCACGGCCAGATTGTCTAGAATGAGGTCGCACATTTTCGGATTTTTGGGGGTAAGACAGTTATTCATATTTACGTTTAGCAAACGTACCAGAATGTTTGTACTGTAGATGAAATGTAAAGTGTTCTTCATTCAATCTAAAAAATGGGTTTAGATCGCAAAAGTTACACATTAAGATGGCGTCTATAATTCGCCACAGAATAGACTATAATCGGGGTAGGGGCTCTGAGAGGCCAGCGGCACATACCCAGCAAAAATTAAAGTACCCCCCCCCCCCGGGTTTCACTGCCCAGTTTACGTCAAAGCAAACAACGACATTCGGTAATATTCATGTTTCGAGAACAAAATGATCAACCAAATATGTCGTTGAACACATTTAAAGTGGTTCAGTAATGAGCCACAATACTCGAACTTCCTGCTTTCGAAATCCATTAACAGGTTAAACATGAACGTATATATTTGCTTCCCTCATTTTGGCTCGCCATTGTCACGGAAATTTTGGGTCGAAGGTGACCGGTTCAGTTTCTTCTAACGTGAGGACAGGTGAGTTGTGCAATATAAATTATGTATACAGGGCTTGTCACTAGACTGTTCAGGAAAAGTAGCGATATATAACAGTTAAAACCAAAAGTGTGAACGTTTATTATTTTTTTCTCTTCTCCTCCATCCCATTCCCTCATGCACTGTCCTCTCATTCCTTTTTCTTTTCTTTTCTTACTCGTGCATAATTCTCAAGCTTGATGGACCCCAAAAATGTTGCCTTTCGGATTCAGGTTCGTGATTTTTAGTAACTGAAAGTTGCAAAATTGAGTGAGATATTTCCAAAGTATTGGATGGTTCATAATGTTACCTAGCCCGTTTTCTGTTGGAAACGGCTTTTCGGAGCTGTCGGATTAAATTGAAGTGAAATTGTGCTGTTACCTTAGTAAGGGCCGGGGTAAAACACCACAATCATGCTGTTTCCCCCCCCTCCCTCCCAAGGGAAAAAGAATTTTCCGAAAAGTAAAACAAGATCAGTGACACATAACTTGAAAGGACCACCTTTATAAAATTTAGATTTCACTTTTCATGCCCACTGTCAGATATGGCAAGGAAGACCGGGTTCGTATCAATCAGAAGTAAAATGAAGTCATGTTTTTCTTTCCTCAGAACTCCGCAATGAAGAAAATCTCAATGTTTGCCTCTTTCTCTATGATGCTGTTGTCTTTAGCTCAGAACGTGATGTCGAAGGAAGAGTGTTACATAAAAACCAATGGCTGCAGTGTCCCTGGAGGGCTTCCGTTCTTCTACAAGACGACGTTCACCCCTGCTTGCGTCAAGCACGATGTTTGCTACTCCTGTGTAAGAATTCAAAAATCAGTCATTGCCCATCAAACTACGTACACAACCCGTTCACACAAATGTTTTTTATACGTTTCCTTGTTTTTATCGCGTATGCAAATTGGACTTATAGAGGTAGATATAAAGACATTGGTTGTTTACCATTTACGAGAAGTGTTCGGAAAATCAAAAAATACAGCTTACTCAGGCCACTTAAGGCATGACTACCTAATTAAATATGCATATTTTAGTAAATGCTATTTAGAACGGTTTGCTTCCATCAGTGCTCCTGAAAAGTGAACTGCAAATGTGGCTCAACGGCTCAACGAAAAAAACACGTGAAACGTGATTTCAAATAACACGTGACATCGCTTCGTCAATGACGTCACAAAACACGTTTTCCTAAACGGGGAAGGATTGCAAACCTTAATCTTTGGAATTTTCACTACGAAAATGTTACATAAACAGTGTAAATCGTAAATTCGCCTTGTATGATTTTTTATCCTATTAGCTATTTAACTAATTAATAAGTCATGTGATCCTTTTCCCTTTATTTACCGATTCCTATACAATGTAAACACACATACAAGGCGAATTTATAAGAACCTTTTTAATAGCCTCTGAAATGTACCTAAAAGAACTTGTTGCTCTTTCATTATCCTTTCCTCATTTTAGAGTAAATATTTTGACCGTTAATTCTCAATTATCAGTCAGCTGACGAAAATTTGAGCTTCTAAAATGCACTCATATTTTTAAGGCCATTGAGCTACATTTGTAGTTCAATTTTCAGGATCACTGATAGAAGCAAACCGTTTTAAATAGCATTATATCAAAATATGCATATTTATTTAATTAGATAGTCATGCCTTATTGAAAATACTAGCGAGTATTTATCTGCTTGAATCTTTTACCTGAATTCTCATACAAATCCTTTATTTTCACGGCCATTTTAAGGGTTACGCACGCCAGTATGAAACCACATGTATTAATTGATGATTAAACTCTCATAGTGAGATTGGGCTGCTCTGACTGAAAAGGCTTCCTCATGTAACGCTTACCAGGGTGGCTTTTAAATGGCTCCGTCCACATGAACCTGGTGGTTTCAAAAATGTTTGTGTGGACATGCGGCCTCAGTCTACTTTTAGCAGGTTCTTCCATATTTATGACACCTAAACGATCGCTACGAGCCAAAAAGCTAAGATCAGCAATTACGACGATTTTACTGTACTGAACTCCTCCACCTTGATCATAATGGTCGAACAGTGATCGTTCTTATAGAAAGGCTGTTTTTCATTCAACCTAGTCAAACTGCCATTAATTTCACGATCATATCGGCAGCTATCTTTCTTGGGCGATTTTAGAGCAACCATGATTTATTTGCCGTGACTGAACATGTCCTCTTTTAAAATCATGTCCACACAGGGTCAGCGCTTTGGTTGGAACCGATCTGGTTGTGACAATACTTTCAAACAGGATATGTACAGGCTATGCGAGAAACAGTTCAGCCGTTTGATTTCCTGGCCAACAAAGTACGAACGATGTAAGTTTTTTGCGGATTTGTATTACAAGGCAGTACGTACAGCGGGTTCGTTGTACTGGTCAAATCCATCCGAAGGCTGGTGCAAAAACGTTTGTACTGAGGCTCTTGGAGATCCTTCCAAGCCTCTGGACGTTAAGATGACACCGAAAATGACAAATATATCAGTTAACAGCTCTCACCCACACGTCAAACTGGAAATCTTGGTCGAGAATTAATTAGCTATAGAGAAGTAGAGCGAAATAAAAGATTGTTCAAGAGCGTACATTAATGTTAATGAACTACTATTTGAGATGCTGGGCTTATGTCACTATAATAAGCCACTTCCGAGTTCCAAAAACCCTCACTTTCAAATTGAGGCCAAGTGCACAACCTTTCTTGTGAAAATGAGTTTTATTTGCACGAGAATGAAAATCATTTTCATATCAAAGGCTGAGCACTTAACCTTGTTTTGATACAGAGCAATTTTTTGACCATTTTTAAATAGTCAAAAAATAGTCTAGAAAGGCTATTTTTCTATACAGAATATCGTCATTTTTTTTTCTTATTTTGTCTAAAATAATAAGATGGAAAGTCTTATACCAAGTCTTTGGAAAACTGTAATTTTTCGACTTTTTTACATCAATGTTTTTATTGTCTAAAACGACTGTTTTTCGATGGAGAATATCGTCAAACACATATTCCTTGCCCAATTTTTATAAAATAGAAAGATGGAGAAGTCTCATATTCTTGACGAAAACCTTGGACTCAAGCATTTTTTGTTACTTTTTAAAAGGGACATTTTATTGTCTAGAAAGACTTTTTTCTGTGGAGAATATCGTCAGTTACATTTTCCTGGCCTGTTTGGCATAAAATACAAAAAAAAATGAAAAAAATTCAATTTTTTGACCAAAACCATGGACTAACCCCTTTGGAAAAATGCAAGTTTTCAACTTTTTAAAATCGACGTTTTTCTTATCAAGACTGCAGGATTTTTTGTATCAAGGTTATCGTCAAACAAATTTTTTTTGCCCCCCTTTGGAAAAATGCTATTTCTTCGACTTTTTAAAGTCGATGTTTTAATTATCTAGACAGGCTTTTTTTTCTCGAGAATATCGTCAAACACATTTTTCTTGCCCATTTTTTTCCTAAAAGAAATTAAGAAAAATTTTAAATTTTGACCAGAACCATGGACCAACCCTTTTGGAAAAATGCAGTGTTTTCGATTTTTAAAAAAGGTGTTTTTACTGTCTAGAAAGAAAATTTATTTCGGGTTTTTAAAATTAATGGTTTTTTTTAATCTAAAAAGGCTGTTTTTCGATGGAGAATATCGTCAAACACATTTTTCTCGCCTACTTTTCAAAAAATAGAAAACTGACAAATCTTAAATTTTTGACGAAAACCATGGACTAACCTCTTTGGAAAAATGCAATTTTTTCGAGTCTTTTTTATTAAATTGATCTCTTTATTGTCTAGCTTTTTTCTATGGAGAATTTCGTCAAACACATGTTTATTTTGTCAAAAATAAAACGATGAAAAATTTTCAATTTACCTTGCCTATTCTGCATAAAATAAAAAGAAGAACAATTTTTTCAAATTTTTGACGAGAACCATGGTATAACCCCTTTAAAAAGTGCAGCTTTTTTGACTTTTTAAATTCAACGCTTTCATTGTCTTTCTATCAAGGACACCGCCAAAACCATTTTCCTTGCCTATTTTTGATAACCATAGACCAAACCCTTTGGAAAAACGCAATTTTTTCTACTTTTTAAAATCTTGTTTTTCTTGCCAAGAAGGGCTTTTTTTTTATCCAGAATATAGTCAACACATTTTCTTTTCTTGCCTATTTTGCCCAAAATAAAAACATGGAAAATGTTTAATTTTTTGAACAAAATTATGGACCAAACCCTTTAGAAAAATGCGATTTTTTTTCTGCACACCCACATAAACCTTATATAAACCCATATACATGCACCTTTTATACTTTATATAGACCTTATGTACACCCATATGCACCTTTTATACACCTTATATACACACATTTAAGGAGCCGGGGGCTCCCCCCCCGGCCATTATTCTCCCGGGCTCGCATATGAAAATAGAAGAAAAATAGAACCAAAAAGAAATCCCTTGCTGTTTGATTCCCCGCCTACTTGCTGTATTTATCCGGTAACGTAACCTATAGCTAGTCATGATTGAAAAAAAATATAAAATATTACACCCTGTTGGTGGAATCTCTAGATAGTGACTGGGTTTAATCCAAATGACAAGATCAGCTGAAATATTCTCCTTTTGGTAATTTATTTTCTCAACATACACATCACCACATACATATAACATTTGGATTTCAATTTTTTGCTAGAAATATTCCTTAAAATTGTAATATTTATGATATTAAATGACATAGTGGCCACTTTACAATTCTAGAACTAAAGGTCTTCCAAGTTACAGAAAAGCAATTTAGCATTCAATTTCAGTGAAATGACAAAGTAAAAAAAAAGCTAAATGACTGCTTCTTTCAAAGTCGCCGAACCACCTTGGCCATCCCAATTTAATGCTTCGTTTCCCATCACCCGACCGACCCATTTTTTTGGAAAAGTAAAAAGAAAAAAAAATTCCAGAATCACTTGTAAAGAAGCAAGCACTTTAATTTACAAGCACACGATCTTATCTTACTAACACCAATTGTCTTAAATTATCATCGATACTTCGTTTTTGTAGCCTTTTTAGACATTTGATAGTCCTGGTAATGTACATCTTTTACCATCTGATTGTATCTTGCAGACTAAACGTGAGATTTAATATGCAATCATGTGTTCATTCCCTTTTTTTTTTTACCTGACCGACCGACCCACCTTCATGAGAGGGAGGGCGATGGGAAACGAAACATTTTATTGGGATGGCCCTTCTGAAATGAAGGTCCATACATTACCCTTTGGAAAAATGCAATTTTTTCGACTTTTTAAAATCGATGTTTAATTGTCTAGAAAGGCTTTTTTTCTATCAAGAATATCGTCAAAAAAATTTTTCCTGGCCTATTTTTTAGAAAGATGAGGAAATCTCAAAGTTTTGACCAAAACCATGGACTAAATTCAACTTGTTCGACTTTTTAAAATCGATGTTTTTATTGTCTAGGAAAGCTTTTTTTCTATCGAGAATATCGTCAAACACATTTTTCTTGCCCACTTTTTGCCTAAAATAAAAGATGGAAAAATTTCCAATTTTTGACAAACTAATGAATAAAAACATTATTTAAATGCTCCTCTTCTATTTTTATAAGGAGCGTGCAAATTTTCCCTGCATACGAAGCTGAGGTAATTGTAACTGCTAAAATAATATATCATGTCAAATCATTGTCTTTAATTATTCTCCATACCATAAGACTACTGATTCTGCTAAAATTGAAGTATTTTAAAATCATAATTTAAACATGCATTGCCAAGCTTGTTACCCTTGTTAGTGCTTGAACCCACCACACTGTGACAATATTACGTCAAATTAATTATCGGATATTTAACAACTATTCCTCGAGCCCGAATGGACTCTGAGTCAATAGCCCATGAGGCCGAAGGCCGAATGCGCTATTGACTCAGAGGCCGTGAGGGCGAGAGGGAATAATTGTTTTAGTAAAATCCAACTAAATGGTAAAAAATATCGAGACAAAACAACTTTAGCTAGCAAAACGCGATTCAGCCGCCATTGTTTTGGTTTTTAAAGCCGGCGCCTTTCGCTTCTAGTGGGCTATAACATATAGCCTAGTAGTAGGTCAACCAGTCAGAACGCATGCAGTATTGATAATGGACCACTAGCCGGATTTTACTAAAAGAGGATAGACACACACAATTTGTGAATTACATGAACGTACAAAAACATAATAAACAAATGCATATTTGTGATGGGCTGGACATTTCCCAAGTTGAAATAACAAGGTTAATAGATACCCTCTCTCCTGTTATACTGTAAAATGTGAAGAAGAAAAAAAGATAACAGCTGTAAAAAAAAAAAAACAGCTAAGAAAACTATTTTCTTTGAAAATTGTTTTGCTTTCGCCCTCATATTTTTGCTAATTTTTACGATTGTTTTAAAAAAAGTGCACGTAAATTACAATCGAGAAATTTAATGCAATATTTCGCACAGTTGCTGCATTTTACAGACTAGCTATATGGCCGTAATTTTACGTGTACGAAACGGCATTTTTGTACCCTAATATATTTACCTTCTCTTCTTCACTATAATTGATACTGTTATTCTGAAATGAGGCTGAGTTTGCAGTGAAAAATTATGTGCAGATAAAGGAGATAAGAGCCTGCGAGATCAGAGTATACTTCACATCATACGAAAGCTGAATTTATTGATTGTTTTATTATTCATTCAAAATATTTCTAAATTCCTAACAAGCTCAATTACCTCCTGGTAGACTTTCTTTTTCGGCCCTTTTTTTAGGATATATGCAGATGTTTTTTTCTAACAGATACTCCTTAAAAAGCGCAATATGTTTATAAAAGCCATCGAGCAATATATGTTTTGCGTATTCTTGCATTGTTTTCGTTCAGTTTTAGTCAGAAATTCAGCTATTTAGGCTTCGGGAAGTAGTGAACGCTAATTTGTTTAGTTTACCATTTCCCAAACTGCCTCGTTTTCAGGCAAATATACCATAATTAGCGATTGAAATTAGGTTCCGGCCAAAATTAGTAAGCATAAGATTGCGTCTTACTGGTTAAAACTTTCGAATTTGGCCGGCGGGGGAATCCCTTAAAAGTTAAAGAAGAAACCGCATTTTTTGGACTTAAAGCAAATAGCACGTCACACCCGAATATTCTCGAGGTACTCCCTCCCTTTCTCGAAAGGAATTTGGTTGTGGTGGACAAAGATTTGGTCATTCAATGAGTAATTTCTGAGACAAAATTTAAAAAATAATGTAGGCTCCTATAGGCTTAAAAAAATTAACATTCATCGGCTAAATTTCCTTTGGAAACATTATAAGGCCATTAAAAGGCATAAAAAGGGCAATTTTCTACGTTACGGCACCTTAGCATTAAACATGCTGTTTGATAACATCGGAATCATGCCTCCTCCCGATCGCTGATGTCCTCACAATTCAGGTCCCTCAGTTTTCGTTCAGCATCTATGAAGTCTTTCAATGGAGCGCTGCAGAAGACTGGTTGTCTTTCATCATTTTTTATTCTGCGTTTCCAAAGAAGACAGCCTTCTACGCGAACTTCAGGCAGAGGTTTTTCCGTTTTCTCTTCATCCTCTTCCCTTTTATACACTTCACTGCATTTTGGAGGCATAGGAGAAAACGGCCTTGACTGCGCTGCAAGATCAGTGGAAGATGTGCAGGAATAAAGGGGACCGTCTCTCACGTCGTTTCTTTCTTTAACGTCGAACTTCTGCATAAAATCCTGGCGGACATCATTGTCATCATGATTAGTTATCTTTTTGGTACCAGGCTGCTGGAAAACAGGCAGTATCTGCACAGAAGATGAAATCGTTTTACTTTGTGACGAAGCTGCAACGGGTGGGGAAATCTTTGATGGCGGCTGTACTGTTAGTGAGGTTGAACGAGAATACTTATACCAGTTCAAGTGTCTTCCCTGGAGAGCGGACAAGGTACCAAGTGAATTGATGCGATTTTCATATTGTTTTTTAGCCTTTCCTCCACACGGAGCATTCTCCTCTAGTCTCAAAGCTCCTAAGTCATTCTCCATGCAGTCGGTTTCTCCCTCAATCGGTGGCCATTGAAAAGCAGGCAAAATCTGCGCTGGGCCCGAATTCGGTTTCCGGGGTGTTGGCGATTCTCGGCGGAACTCCGGTTGCTGCGAAAAGGGAATGGATTGGCTATTCTCCAGCTTCCGTCTCCCGTAACCGGCGAAGTTCCCAGTTGAATCCCCGACTGTATGACCTGAAAAGGAACTACTTGGTGGTAGATGAAAAAAACTGCTAGATGGTATCCGGCCAGTGGCAATACTCCTACTTGACTTCCTGGTTGTGTGGACAGTACGGTACATCTGTGGCGATAGCTGAAAACAACCTTCGTCCTTTTCTTGCTCCTTGGTATCTTCTTTTCCTCCATAATCCCCCGAGTGGGTACCTTTTTCTGAAGGCCATTTACTACCAGGTAAAATTTGTCCACGAGTTCGAGTCAGCAGCGGTTTTCTTTGGGAAGGATCCCCACTGTGCACAAGCCGCTGTGGCAAAGGAGTTGAAGATTTGGAAAAAACAAGCTTTTTACTGTGAGGATTGGTAAGCAAGGTCACTTCGTCGACTGAAATCAGTTCTGGCGGAGCCTTGGCCTTCGTCCTGCTGGTGCCTATTACTTTTGCTGTCCGTGAATTCTTTTTATGGATCTCTTCAATAAACGAGGATGTGTGATCTATGCTTGACTGCCTCTTCTTCTCATTTGAGTTTACTCCTATGACTGGCATATCATATTCATTCTCATCCCTTGGTAAGACTCCTGGTAAGAGGTAAATCTTTTCCTCCAACAGAATCCATTCGCTGTCTTCTGACATGTCTGTGAAATTTTCGTCCCTCTGGTGTGCCATTGCGATATTCTAGCTTTAGTGAAATTACGCTGGAAAGCAGTTTCTTTATACATATCTGGGGCAGGTAAACTTCAAAGGCTATCATAGCCAATCACAAGGCGTGTCCCTTTCAGCTTTTCTGGAGCGGCCTTAAAAGTGTGGGTGTTACCCAGTTTCAAAGAACGCGATGAAGCCACGCCTAAAAACTCTAACCAATCATGAAGAAGACAGTTTCAAGCGGTTTATTTCAAGCAGCGCAACATGAGGAAATTCACCATAAAATGTAATATATATTTTAAGTATTATTGATTTAAGAATTGAGTTCCACAATGATTTCACAAGATCCTTCTTTCTGTAGTGCCATTGTAATTTTCTACTTTTAAAGGACGCAAAGTGTAAAGCAGCACCGCCATACAGTTACAAAGAAAGCGGTCCAGCCACGCCCAAAGAATCCAACCAATTATGAAGAAGATAAATTCAAGTGATCAACTTCCTGCAGCGCCTCTACATGCAGCGCCACATGAAGAAAATTCACCATAACGTTTACTGTTTAATCTTTCTCCGTAGTGTCATTGCAATTTTCTAGTTATGAAGAACTCAAACTGAAAAGCAGTACAGTAATGGATCGGCGAATTGGCGCAGGCAAACTCAGACGCTATCTCATCACAAGGAGCAAAGAGTGAAGGCTTTCACTCAGTGAATTGTCCAGTTCGCTGCATGGAAAAACTCTTTAAAAACTGTACCATGTATTTTAAGAATCAATTTATCTCTAACAGTGCTTCTACAAGGCATTTTTTATCTTAAGTGCCTATCCGGAATAGGTAAACTTCAAACGCTAAAACAACCAATCACATTACCCGGAGTAAAGGGCGTGTCCCCATGGTATGCCCGTTTTGCTAAACCGCTCGCCGCATGAAGAAATTCGCAAAACATGTGCCATGGATTTTTAATTTTTTTCAATTTAAGTCTAACAATTATTTCAAATTTATACTCTATCGACAATTTTAAGAAATCATTTAGGACAAGACACCTTATTCGTCGGTTGTGTGTCTGATGTCTTGCAGTGAAAGGCGACTTCATTTGGAGCGACATTATTATTCATTTTCGGTAAAGTGAAAAGTGAAACCTTTTATAAACCTTTATCCCTCTTCCTTTCTGTTTTTCGGTATTTCTTTGGTCCCTGGCCTCGCCCAAATTAATAACCAAACGTTCGATTGGCCCACTGTACTGCGAACGTGTTAAGCACGATCGTAGCGGTAAGCAACAATCATTGGTAATTAGAACCGACCCACGGTTTATGGAGATGGGAAGTTGAAAGAGGAGGAAAAGCAATAATTTTTAAGGTCGACTCAGTCAAGTTTCTTCTCTATGCCTTCCAAGCTCTTGAAGAATGAAAAAAAAAATAGAGGATATTACATGCCCGCGTGTGGATACGAATTTTATCTTCGAGTGTTAAAACTCGATATCTCACGAGTGAGCGCAGCAAACGAGTGAGATGTCGAGTTGAACAGAGAATATAAAATTCGTATCCAGAAGCGGGCATGTAATATTCTGTTTATTATATAGATACTGATGAAATACCAGGATTTTTCCTTTTACTAAAAAATCATATCTTCATCGCGCACAGTGAAGATACTATATTTATCTTTCGCATGTTGGGATATTGGTGTCGCCATGGTTACTAACAATTTTTCTCTTCTTCATTAGAATTTTGACTTTTTAAAACAGAAAATATAAGTATTATTGTCTTTATTTCTCTTTTATAACTTTATATCCGAGTTTCATAACATTTTTGTGACAGGTATTTTGCGAGAGTTGACCACTTTAATTGCACTATTTTGCTGTTTCGAAAATGAATTAAAAAAAGTTGTGTTTTATGTAGGAATTTCATCAATATCTATAAAATAAACAGAACATTACATGGCCGCTTGGGGATACGAATTTTATCTTTCAGCACGAAAAGATAAAATTCGTATCCCCGCGCGGCCATGTAATATCCTCTATTTATAATATAGACACCAGTGGCGAGATGCTGTGATGCTCTTTCCTATTGGCTGAGACTGAAGGTGCCATGACAACCGTAATATTTTGACGTGTGAAGGATAAAAAGTGTATCTTCAATGGATACCAAAAAAATCCTGGTATCTCATCTGCGTCTATATAATAAAAGCAAATATCTTCGATAAGCGATTTATAGCGACTCAAAAAAGGAAAACACTACCGTAAAGGAGGTTTCGAAAATGAATACAAATACTGTCGTGATGAATTTCTCAAAGAATTATCACTTTTTTCGGGCTGTAAATCAAACATAAGGAAAAGAGTTTTATCTGATATCCAGACTACAGCGTGAGGCGGTTTAAAAAACGAGACGTTATCGACTCGGGAGTCTGTACACTTGATAAAGTTTTGCGATGTTTGGAGACCACATGGAGAAGAAAGACTATTACAAACCTTGTAACTAAGGGATCATCTGAAATCATTGCATATAAGTAAATGAAAGGTAAACGAATTATGGACAATGAGACTGCTGTTTATGTTGAGGGTACGACAGGCCTCAACCGAAAATCATCCCCATAACGATAACGAATCGATGGTCTCTTTACCTGACATAAAGGTTTAAAGTCATTAATGGTTGTAAACGAAAGGACTAAGGTGGCCATTTAAAAACAGAATAACCATTTTTTAAGGAAAGCTTAGGTAGGTAATCTGTCAAGTCAAGTTAAAATAATTGTTAGTACTAAGTTCAAGCATTAATTAGGCAAAAAAAGAAAGTCACGTGATGTCCAATCCGCCAAAGGAGTCTCAGCCTACCCAATATACAGTTGATGATTGCTGTTTAATTACCAGAAAGTGCCCCTGGAAAATTACTACCACAACAACGACAATTTCTTTCAAACTATCATTATTAGACTACAACACTTGTAGCCCGCTCCAAGTTTTAGCATAGCCGAGGCAGGCACAATTTATTTAGAACTGAAAAAAGCGTAATGTATTCCATTTGCTTTACATTTCTTTAATGAATTCAATTATGCATAATTGTACCTAACAAAGAGCAATTTTCTATCCACCAATGATGATCTTTCCTCTTGATTGATTTAAAGTTCATTAAATGATAAATTAATGCATCGGATAAGCGGTGTTGCGTAACAGAACAAATTAAGTAATACCTTTAAAGGTATTTTCAAAATGCCCTTAATTATTTGTATTGTGTCGCAATAAATACTGTTTTCAATGAACCAATAAGGTAGACGTAACGAAGCCATACGCTCGTCTCCTACCAATGGGGTGGGTTACACGATATCTGTGAAGAGACTTTTAGTAATTAGGGTTAGATTAGTTTTGCATTTGGCAAAACTGATAACCAGTCGTGAAAGTAAAGCAGCGCATTTCGGCAACACTGACCAGGTTAAACTAAGCAATACCAAGAAGAAAAATGTCAACGGATGAAAAACACTCAACACTTCAGGAAGCTAGTGGGCAACAAGGAGTCACTGAGCCAAGCAACAGTGACTTTCTAGCTTGGTTTGACCACAGTGAAATACAAAACTTGCATGACGCTCCACGGCGCAAACGACGAAAGAGGTTTTTAAAGGCCGACAAAGATTGCTCGCATGCGTCTCAGCATGGAGAGGTATACCCTAACTATGATGTCCACAGTGATTTTGATGACGTGTTTACGACGGATCCTGGAATCAGAGAACCAACAAAAGAAGTGGTCAAGCACAGCTGGATCATGCTTAACAGCCCATTTTCTCAGCACACAAGTAGAGGTATCGATACCCAAAATGGCTGCTTGGGTTTGACGCCGGTTTCAGATTCTCCAGTCGGTCAGTTAATAAGTGATATGCAAAGTTTTACTTTTAAGGGATCAATGAAACGCTTTGCTTCCCAGAGACCGAAACGAAAGAAGCGCGCTAGCTGAAGATTATTCGGAAAGAGAGCGATTGTTACCATACACCGGAACCTCGATCTAACGAAGTGTCAAGGAATGGAAAAATTTGTTCGCTATAACGAGGTTTGGTTATTCAGGCCATTCGGCTTTCCCCGATGGAGGCGGGGAGGGGTGGTTAAGGAGCTGATTCCTGTGTAAAAATGGTGAGGACAATCTTCAACAAATTAGAATTAAACCCTTAATTAAGACCTTGGATCTGGGCTTGACGGAAGCTTAATTTGACCCTTAAAATCACCATTACAAAAACAGAGCCAAATAAGAGCTAGGGTAATTTTAACGGCCAGTAATAAGAGCGCTAGGGTCGATTGCTTAATAAGTAATCGGTTCCTGGCTTTCGTTATAGAGCGTTTTCACATAACGTCAAGGCGGCCATATTGGTGTCCAAAACAATGAAACGGCGGCCATGTTGGTGTACCAAAAAAATCCTTTGGGAGTTGAACTCTTTTCTTATGTAAATGCTTTCTTTTATCCCAATAAATTTGCATAGATGCTGGCCACGTGAGTGAAAACGCTCTATTTCTTCAAGTACACCTCTTTCTCATGACGCCACGGCGGCCATATTGGTGTCCCAAAAGGATGCAACGGCGGCCATGTTGGTGTTCCAAACCAATCCTGTTGGAGTTGAACTCTTCCCTTATGTAAACGCTTTCTTTTGTTACAGAGAGTGAAAACGCTCTATAAAGCCGCCGGTCGCAGGCCCATGATTTGTAAACAGGAATTCAGTCCTTAGATATATGCTTATTTTTATGTATCTGTTTTTATAAATCTTGTTTGGTTATGTTCCAATAACAGTTAAAGGCTGCAGTTTTGAATTTATTTTAATAAAATAACGTATGTGTCCCTATCAGATTGTTTCGAGACTTTTTATTTTTATTGCGCTCAAAGCCACCAGGAATACACTGGGAGAAATTAATTGCGTACGCGAGGTGGCAAAACTAGTCACGTGATCTAAGAACTGAACCATGCTCAACCTAAGAGCTGTGTAGTCGTGGGGCCGATCGAATGTGTAGATCATCGAATTTTTACGGCGAATTGATGTCGAAGAAACTTTCAAGTGTAGAAAACAGTATGGAATTTTAAAATGTGAACACGTGGAGAGGTATGCTTCGAGATGAGTGAAGAATGATAAAAATGCTAAAATCGAACTTGAGTGTATCTGTTCTGGTTCAGTTTAATCCTTGGTTTAAATTTTACTTTCCTTTGTTTTGGGGTATGCTGATGTCTGATTAACAGCAGGAGCAATCGGTTCCTGTTAACAGTTAAACCTAAGGATAAAACTGAACCACAACATCACACAAAATTTGCCACATACACCCCAACAATACCCTTGCGAAACTGTATTAGCTTAGCATCGGGCTAACAACCAGGATTTTGCGGTAAACGGGTAGGTTGTACAAGAGATTTGGCTTCTAATTTTTTTAGGGGAGGATCTGGGGGAAAGGGGATCTTGGGTGCCCATGCAGGTTAGTATACTGTACAATAACGCCCTCCTCACCCTGCGGCACATTGTACACTCCCCCTTCTCCCATCTTACAACTAATACCCCTTACCATACTTCGTATATTAGGTGAACAACCCTACTACTCCTCCAATCAAAACCCTAGATTCTTCCTTTGTTTCTTCAAAGGTCATCGATCCGATCTGGTCTGATATATAAATATTCAATAATAAAAAAAAGCCAAGAAGGTACACTGTACAAATATCAAGATATCAATTGCAGTGTCGAAGAAGGACAATGATATTTATTCAGGTATCTAAACATCTAGAAAACGATTTAAAGAACTTATCTTTCAACGCTCTTCGCTAATTTGCTTGGGAAATTGACGAGACACTTCTTGTTGTGTTTATATATTACTTGAAACTCCTTTTATTATCTTCAAAAACAAAAAGATCCATTAGTAGTATCCATTTAAATGAAATCATATCGCGTTTGCAAAAGGATAAGTTAAAAAAGAAAACAAGAAATGCTACGAAAGGTTACAAGAAGGTCATTATTTGAATGACCACCATGTACAATTGTCGAAAAATACAGTAAAAGCATGTGCTCTTGAAGAGACATCAAGTAAGTTGTTATCTAACAATTGCGAGTACGTGTAACTTACGTCAGCGGAAGCGGAGGGTCTTCGTCTCGAAAAGATATGCCATATCTGACGATTACAACGCAATTTACCCCAGGAAAGCCGTGAAAAGCACCAAAACCACAGGAAATACAAGAGTTCCAATGGCTAAATCAAGCCAGGAGGTTTATTTTACTTCTTCTCTGAGTATCCTCGCAGTATTAATCGTGTTATCCAACGTTTGCGTTTGCTGTTTGGTTTGCTTCAACAAAGCTCTTCGGACGTATCCTAACTGGTTGATAGTGTCCCTTGCTGTATCCGATATTTTAACAGGGGGAGTTTTACTGCCTGTTTACCTCAATGAGCCCTCGTCAATTGTCCCGGGTTATTTAGCCTGTATTATATTACTCTCAGGTGTTGCTAACTTATGCTCTGTAACATACGATCGCTATATCGCCATCATGAAACCTCTCGAATACCCGTATCGGTCACCAGTGATGTTCAAAAGAGCTTTGGTACTTTCGTGGCTGTTTCCAATAATCTACTCTCTACTTCCGCTGTTCTGGAACACGGATCCAACGCGAGGTATTCATAAGGCCTACATCATATGTTTGCAGTTCTTTGGTATTGTTGTTCCATATATCGTCATTACCTTTGCCTATGTGAGAATATTCAGACAAGTTCGAGGCAGCCTAGCAATGAGAAAAGACTTTCGAATTGATCCAGCTCGAAGGACCAACAACGACAAGAGAAGCACTTCATCAGATTTCCAAGTTGCCAAAGTGTTTTGCATAATTTCGGCAGCTTTTATCCTCTGTTGGTTACCGATTATCTACATCACAACTGCCAGTACTATATTGAATCGGCTTGATATTATCCCTCAAGCTCTGGTGACCGTTTCATTTTTCACTATGGCGATCAGCTCACTTGTAAACCCTCTCATTTACGCTTTTCTTAAGCCAGACTTTAAGTTGGCTATTCGGACTGTATTTTCGAGGAGAACTCGCGCGCAATCGCGTGAGTCCTCTTCTTGAATAAGCTTGGTATTAAAGAGAAGCGAAGAAGGATCTTGAACAGGACTTAGTACATGTATCTAAGAATTCAAGAGAAATCTGTGGCGCAAGATGACTAACAAAGAAAGGCTCGATGTACCGGACGAAAACGAATTATTAAAGAGGCAATTAAAGAAAAAAACATCGGTATAAACACGGATCGAAACACGGCTGATTTACAATACTGGCAAACATCTTACATGTACGATTGGCGCAGTTTTCAGGTAAAGACTTACGCGGACAAATAAACAGTCCCTAAACCCATTCATTTTGGGGGATGTGACATGTTCCATGTCTCCTCGGTTTAGAAATTGCCCAAATGTTGTCACTGTTGTTAACTAATGTTTCGTCAATAAATAATCGTTAATATCAATTTGCAGGTTTTTAAAGCAGTCTTGCAGTTCAGGAATTTATACGAATCACTGAGTGATGACGTATATCAATGTTCACGAACATCGCTGCAGCAGCAATAGGAACTACAAAAGTAAGAGCCATAAAGCTACGTAAATTATCAGCTAAGGCTTCTAAAAAAAATAAAACGGTATATTTAATAATTGTAGCTACCTCCTCCTCAGGCGCTTCGTATTACGCATAGAGGGTAGCGCGAAACGAGAGTGACTGGTGACGAAATAAAAGTTTTCATCGAGAGAAAAAGAAAGAGATGCCTGGGTACGAGGTAGTAACTGTAGTTAGTTTTGTTATAGAGCACCGTAAAACAAAAGCCATATAATACTGCCTTTAAAATAGAAAATCTCGACGGTTGGGAAATTCTATAATCAACCAGTCATAAAGTGCAGCTGGTTCCATGGACGATGGAAGATAATGTAGGGGTAAATCTCGATTAGTGTTTTTGGTCTCGCTCTTGATTGGTTGAGAAACGAAGCGACATTTTTGACCTAAAAATATGGGATTATCAACTTAAGGCATCAGGAACAAACCACGTTGCTGAGACAAAAGCCATAGGCAGACATACATAAAATAGCGGCTGCAGGTTGAAAGGATAAGAAGTATTTTTCTTAAAGAGCAACGCCACATAGAAACACAGATTGTTTTTTAAAAATGTTATATATTTGCGGTATTTTACCCTATGTATCCACTTGCAGTGTAATGTCGAGCAATATACTGGTTACAAAAAAAATCATGCAATAAAATAAGGACACACTTAAAAACAGTTCCTTTAACAAGTCAATACATATGCAGCGATGGAAGATCGACACTTGCTGGCTCGTTCTTGGGTCATGCATGTGTTTTAAAACAACAACTCTTAGGGAAATTAATCGAAACTGGAGCTACTGATTTCGCGACCTCGGACTGTCAGAAGTCTTTTTGAAATTTTAAGAATGCTGAGTGCATTGTATTCACAGAAGACTACGTTCAGCATACTTAATTTCAGTCACGCGAATTACATTTGTCCATGAAATAAAAAGACCATTAAGAGCGCATTGTTTGTCTGCCCTTAATCAAAATTCGACATAACTCGACCGAGTAGCTCCGTTCCTTCGCCGCCCACAAGAGCTTGCTCCTACGATAATCACATCGTCCTTTAAAATATATCTTCGCAATATGTCGCGGCTTCGAGGATAGAAGCCCAGGTTATTATGAAGAAGTAGTAAAAACATTTTCTTTCTCTGTGTCTGTTGCCTTTGTGGGAGAGCCTCCTTCCTCGCTGGACGAGCTACCTCTGTGCCCGCCTTCACTCTTGCTATTCTCAGCGCCTCCGTTCTTGCTAGCCAGCGGCGCTTTCTTTCCCTTGCAGCTACACTTCAGGTTTTCCTTGATCAACTTGTTTACTTGCTGATGTGAAACAAAGAAAAAAGTGGCTTGATGAAACGTTTTTCTCTTGGATTTCGCAAAATTAAAACTGTTCCCCTATTGTTTTCACCGCCTGTTACAGTTTTATCATCGCCCAGAATCACGCGAAATATCCGGGAACTTTAAGCGCACTCCGAGCGCCAAATTTGAAAGGATGATCAGCGAACCGAGGCCAAAACACTTAATATGATATTAAAATTTCTCATACAGAAAAAACAATAAAATAGCAAATAAGAGAAGGAAAAAAAAAAAGACCTGAATGACCATGTACATGAGTGTACAGTGGTCAGAGGAGCATAGTTTTCGAGCTAATCACTTTTATATAATGAATATGTGCGCTAGATGCCATGTCAGCTATGGAGGGTTATGTGAAACAGTCATTTTACGTTGTGTCCTTTGATAGTTAAGCAGAATTCGCTTGCATTGCTTTTTGAGCTGGTTTTAGCTTTTTGAGTGCTAGTAGCAATCTGCCTCCAAGTTTATTTTTAAATTATGACAGAAAATCACAAACTTTACGAAACCTTGTACCAATTTGAAGGTCCGTTGACAAAAATCAAAAAGGAGATGTAAATAGTGTCCTATATAGGACTCAGAGTACTTTAACAAATAAGGTTTATGAATCTTTGCAATTTTCGCAGTTCTTTTCGAGTCCTTTTAACTTCTCTTACAGGATCGTGTAAGGACATCACGACTATGAAATTAAGGACAGTTATCAAAACTCCGAAAATTTGTACGGATGCTAAGCAAAATCGAAGGAGCAATGTGAATGAAGTCCAAAGAATGCCATAGATGAAACTGAGAAATTGCGCAAACCGCAAGCCCAACAGTTTCTATATTTTACATACACTTTATGTGATCTGCGTGGATTGGATAATTTAAACCAAGAATACAGGAGTTCGACACGCCCCTTGAAAGTTCAGCAAGTTGCAAACTTTGTGCGACTTGTCGCGGGGACAGAACTGCCCCAAAATTTGCGTTACAAGAGACTTTTCCCCGGGAAATAACCCTGGAAAAAGGCCCCTGTATCTAGACCTTTAGTGTATTCCCACCCTAAAGGGCTTCACTGCAAACCGAAGAAAAGAAAACTTGTCTAAAGAACATTACTTACTTCCCTTAGGGTATGGTTTTCTCTCTTAATCGCTAATAAATGCTGTACTTTCTGCTGTGGGTTTTGGTGTCCTTTTAGCCTCGCGTTTTCCTCTTCAATTTTCTGTATGGCCTGCGAATGAAAACA